GGTGGTTTTTATGACTCAGATGTGTGATGAACAGAAGCAGCAGGACTCAGGAGGAGCCGTGTCCGGTACCTGGAGGACCTGGCAGGTGAACTTGGTCTCCAGGTGAGTCGAGCGTTCGGCCTCCAGGTTGGACTCCAGAGCTTTGACCTTCTGATCCGACAGCTGCGGGACAGAAACACACCTGGTACCGGCAGCCCATCCGTCTGATTGTGGGTTAGTGATGAAGCCACTTCACCTGCGTCTCGCTGCGGCTCTTCTCCAGCTCCTCCGTCAGGACCTTCGTCTGGTCGCGTCGGCGCCGGTTCTGTTCGGCTTCCTTCAGCTGCTGGTCCTGGAGCTGCTGCAGAACCTCCTGCTGCTCCTGGACTCACATGAAACTCACTTTAGCTCGTTAACGTCCAGCCTCAGTGGAAACAAACGACTTCAAAGCTGAAACTCTTTTGTTTTATTGAGAATTTTGCTTCTTTTCCTCAAAATCGACTGTTTTATTTTATAATTTGTATTTTTTCTCACAAAAATTCAACTTTATTTCATCAATATACAACTATGACTTTTATTTTATTTGTTTTTACATTTTAAAAATAATAATTTAGACTTTTTTTATCGTGTGAATGAGTGTTTTTATTTTACAGGATTTTTTTATTTTATTTCATTTTAGTTTTATTCAAAATCTTAATTTTTATGTCAATTTTAATTAATAATTCATGTATTTTATTTATAACATTAACCCTTTTTGTTCCAAGACGTTTATGTTTCATCACACTATTTGACATCTCTTTATATAATCTGACTGTATTTCATGTTTTTATTAAACATTCTGTTCAATACTTTCACATTTTTCTCCAAACTATTAATTCTAATCACCAGAATCAGTTTTTTCTTTCACAATTTAGACTTTTGATTTAATAACTTTGAAATTTTATTTAAGAATTTTGACCTTGTGTCCAATAATTTTTAGTTTTTTTAGCTAATTCTTCATGTTTAATTACAAGATGAGTCTTTCTACTTCACAATTTTGACTCATTACATAATTTCACATTTAATAATTGTATTTTTCCCCCCCAGAATTTTCAGCACATTAATTTAACCCTATTTCATAATTTGGACTTTTAATGATAGAATTTCAAGTCATTATTTACTAATATTAACATTTTGTTTCATAATTTAGATCTACTATTAATATTTTTTCTAAACTTTCACTGTTTTGCACAATTATTAGACTTTTTATTGCATTAATTCATAATTTTATTTATAATTATGACTTTTTTAATAACTTGGCTTCATTTCATAAGCGTGTGCTTTTTAAAAAGTCTTTTTACATCATCATTTTGTTTTTTTTTTTATAAGAAATTCATACTTTTCAATCACATAAATGATGTTTCTTCCTTCAATATTTTGTCTTTTTACTTCTTAATTAATAATTTTAATAGATTTTCGACATTTTTCTTCATCACTAACTTTTCATTTCGCTGGTTTCTCTTTCTATTGCATGAATCAGACTGTTAATCTCTACTTTCTGACTGTTCTTCTCATGGTTCTGGTGGTTTTTCAGTGGGCCGGTCGTTCTGGACCTGCAGCAGTCGGTGCAGCCGCTGGTTCTCGGAGCTCAGCTTCTCGATCCGCTGCTCTCGTTCCTCCGCCTCCTGCTGCAAAGCATCACGGTCCTCCCGGCGGCCGCGGCGCGTGGCGTCCAGAGTCCCCTGAAGCTCCGCGGCTCGATCTGACGGACAAACCGGAGCGTGTCACCATGGTAACGGCAGCCCGACCAATCAGAGAGCGGCGTCCCGGTTCCCTACCTGCCAGCGATTGGTTGTCCCTGCGGCTCGCCGTCAGCTGGTACTGAAGCTCCGCCCCCTGGGCCTCGCTGAGCTCCAGCGCCGAGCGGAACCGAGCCGCCGCCGCCTGCAGCTCACACACCTGGAGGCGGGAACCGGTTCTGACTTCAGCTCACGGAGTAGATTTAACATCTTTAATCATTTGACATCATTTTGACTTTAATCCACAGCTTGAACCGATTTTTGACTGTTTTTCTGCAGAATTTGGACGTTTGAGTCAAAGTTTATTCACTCTTTTCAACAACACTGACTTGATTTGAGAATTTAATCACAATTTTGTCGGTTTCAGACAAAATTCTGACATTTTTCTTTTATTAACTTCAGAGTTTGTATTTTTTTGTCACAATATTGTTTTTATTCATGCATTCTCTTTTTAAAAACCTGATTGTCTTTATTGTCTGGACCATTGTTTGGAGTTTTTGTTGCAGAACTGTGACGTCTGACTCACGTTTTTCACCGTCTGTCACAAACCTGAAGCTTCATTTCATCTTCCGTCGATCTGATGTCATAATTTTGACTTCTTAACTCACAAATCAAACATTTTCTCACATTTAATTCACAACTTTGACAACTCATGTCCTCGCTCTGCCTCTTTATGTCTGGGTTCTGACTCTTCATCCACTGTTTGATGTGTTTTCTGGGAGTGTTTCACCTCCTGGTTGTGTTCGGACGTCAGCTGCAGCTTTTCTTTCTCCAGCTGGTTGATCTTCCATCTCAGCCTCCTCCACTCTTCGCCTCCCTCTGACGCCGTCCTCCTCCTCAGTCGTCCTCCGTCTCTCTCCTCCTCTTGCCTTCCTCCGTCTCTCGGCTGCTTCATTACTTCTTTCAGCCTGAAGATGCACAAACGAATCCGGGAATCAGAACATTTTATTAACAATAACATCTCTTTTTGTTCTCTGAGTTTCACGACTAAAAGTTTGACTTTTTTTCCACATAAGAAATCAGAAACCTCACCGAGAACAACATCAGTTACACTCAGTGAACAAGCTGCTTTTTAAAACCTTACTGATGGAAATTCAGAGGATGTCGTAAAAATATTTGTTATAATTTCTCAAAATGTTCACTTTTCATGTCATAATTTGGACATTTTATATAAAATTCAGATTTTATGTCAGAATTGATACTATTAATGTCATAATTTTGCCTTTTTATGTGATATTTTTGTTCATTTTGAGGAATGCTGTTATTTTATTTTTTTTTACTTTTTATGACAGAATTTTGATGGTTTTGCAACAAACTGTTTGTTATTCAGATATTAAAACTTTACTTTGACTTCAGTGAAATTTTTTTGGACTTTTATATGTAAAGGAGCATTTTTATAATGTGTTGTTGGTATTTAAAGACTTGAAGTCAAGTTAGAACTCCGTGTCTGTGTCTCGGAGCAGCAGCGGCCCACCTCGGTGCCTCCTCCCCGGGGCTCCTCGCCTCGGCTCCCCGCTGCGCCGCTCGGCTCCGGCCGGACCGTCCGCTCCGCTCCGCTGCTTCGGGCTGCATGTCCCCGCCTGAGGTTATTGATCCTGGAGCCGCAATAAGAGCTCTTAATCCCAGACTGGGAGGCTGCTTTGGTACCAGGGGAGGCCGGTTGCTCGGATGCTGCCGTTGCCTTGCCAGCAGACGCACTCACGCCTTCGGGCTAAACCGGTCTCCGTTTACAAATCTACCAAATCAACAGTTACCGCAATATAATCCCAGTTATATACATTTCACAACAAAACACAGGCATATTACCGAATCAGTCTAATAAGCTCTTTAATTCGGCAGCAGTTAAACACTACAACGTGTATTTATACATATTTAGTACTTTTATCAGCCTTAACCTTCACTCTCCGCAGCGGAGAGCGACACACAGCGTTTATTACGCGCTAACAATTTACAGCTGAGATTTTACACAGAACAAAGTTGTGGTTGGTGGATCTGTTATATGCCGAATTTATCAGAAGATCGCAGTTGTTCAGGAAACGTCTTAGCTTTTATACTGCCCTTCATTTATTTACTCAGTCAACGAGGCAGTGCTAAATTTCTACATTTTCTGAATGGAATCGTGTTTCCACCGGATGGACAAGTCGAACAAAGACATTTTTTAAGGTTGATAGCCAAGATTAGCGTCTTTGTTCCCTTCAAACTGACCTTACAGAGCACTAGACTGTCTGCGCTGCCTACAACCTAAATAATAAACCCTATGAAAGGTGATCTTAAGCCGTTACAATCACTTACTGTAACATCCATCCTGCAGCCGTTTGAATCTGACGCCATGTTTGTTGTCCATACGTCGTTTCCGCATCCGCTCCGGATTGGCTGACAAACCGGCCAATGGGAGCCTCAAAGCTATTTACGTCATTTATTTATTATTTTTAGGGAGTTTAAACAGGATGAAATTGTTTTGTTGTTTTATAAAAATATTTGTAAAAATATCTGGTATAATTTAATTATATAAAGGTATTTTGAAAAGTATTGTATTCATATTAAATACATAAATCCATCAATAAATCAATCAATAAATGGTGTACGTGTCGTGTAATAAAAAATATTCTACTATATTAATCTATTTTTGGCTATTTTGGAAACTCTTGGTAATTTTACATTTACTTTGTTGTTATTTAAAGACCGTTTGTGGCCTTTTGGAACCTTTTGTCTTCACTCTGTATGTAATTGTGATCATTTGTGTCACTTGGTTGTAGTTAGTGTGTCTTAATGATGTAACTCTCATCAGCTTGGGCTCATTTGTGTCACTTCATGGTCACTTTATTCGTACTTTGTGTCACTTTGTGGCCATTTTCAGTCTGTCTGTGGTCATTTTACTTAGCTAGGTTAATTGGATGTAAATAAATCCACCTGGAGCAGTTCTAAAAGTAAAACACTGCTGAAAATTTGATGATTCAGGGTAAAAATCTAATAAATTCAGATAATATATTCTAAAACTTCCAGGGTATTTGCAGAATATGGTTTAAAAATATATGTTTTCATGCCTTAATTACTTTTGATTATGATTATTAAGAAGGATTCTTAAGATTTTTTGTGGCAGAGTATATTTATATTAAAGTATTTGTACTTTGGCAGAATCGTTTTTAATATTATTATTTTATCGTCCAGTGGAGGGCGGTGCGGCCTGTCTTCTGCCGGGTTGCTGCCGTATTTCAGCGTAGAAGAAGAGAGAAAGAAAACAACATGGCGGCGCCCACAGAACACGTTGAAGTCTCATCCACAGAGACAGAAAAGGACAAAACGGAAGCTCCAGAAACCTCCACGGACTCAGAACCGGCAGCTCCGGAACCAGACCCGAATTCAGACGAGGATGAGGACGAGGACGGAGGGGAGCCGCCCGGGCCGAAGGTTCGGGACACGCCGGAGGACATCCGGCTGGAGGCGGCGGCCAACACGGTGGCGCTGCACCCGAGCCGGGACGTGCTGGTGTGCGGGGACGTGGACGGGGACGTGTACGCCTTCTCCTACTCGTGCACGGAGGGAGAGAACCGGGAGCTGTGGTCGTCCGGACACCACCTGAAGTCCTGCCGCCAGCTGCGCTTCTCCGAGGACGGCCTGAAGCTGTTCAGCGTGTCCCGGGACAAGGCGGTCCACCTGCTGGACGTGGAGCAGGGGCGGCTGGTCACACGGATCCGGGGAGCCCACGGAGCCCCGATCAACAGCCTGCTGCTGGTGGACGAAAACATCTTGGCGACCGGAGACGACGGAGGAACCCTGAAGGTATCAAACCGGTGTCCAGTGTGGACGAACAGCTGGACCGGAAGTGTCCTGATTAAACAACTCCAACATGCTCCAGCTCCATCCACACTGGTCCTGCACTGGTCTGATCTGGACTTTTAATGGGCCACGGTGCTCCTTTAATGGTTTAATCTGGTTCTTCTGGTCTATGGAGGACAGTGGCACACTTGGTCCATGCTGCTGTTTTCATAAACTGTGGTTCATCAGTTGTCTACAATGAGCTTTTAATGGTCCAAAATGGTCCAAGCTGCTCTTTAAGGGGTTTAAGACAAAACTCTGGAAATCTGAGATGCTTTAATGACCCAGATGCGTGTAAACTGTTGGTGTGAAATGGTTTCTAATGTCAAAGACGGTCTGTTGAGGCTCTGAACTGGTTTTTAAAGACTTTGGTGACATAAGTTGGATAAAGGACCAAGAATTGTTCAACATGCTTTAAGTTGTTCCCTTAAGATGGTGTCTTAATGTCCTAAATTAACTCTTGACAGTTAAAATTGGTCATCAAATGGTTTAATGTTGGGTTTTGGTGGTTTGGGATTCCATACACAGTGTTATTAATGTTAGTCAGTGGTCTAAAATGAGCTTTTAATCATCCAAGTGAGAACAAAAAACGGTCTTTAAGTGGTTTAAGAGAAGGTTTCAGATGGGTTCTTAATGTCCAAAATGGTCTTTTGATGGTTGAATCTGGGCCTCAGATGATCTCGGCTGGTCTGATGCAAAGTTTTAATGGTTTCCGTGGTTTCCTCTTCCTGGCTGATGGAGTTTTGTCCTGAGATGGTCTCTCAGTGGCTTCAGTTGATATTCTGATCTTCCAAACTGGTGTTGTGATGGTCTGAACTGGTCTGTTCCAGTCTCAGCCAGTGTTTGATGACCTGACCTCCATGTTTGTCTCTGTGGAGGTTTGGGACATGAGGAAGGGGACGTCCATTATGGACCTAAAGCACCACGAGGACTACATCAGCGACATTGCTGTGGACCAGGCCAAGAGGATCCTCCTCACAGCCAGGTAATGATGAGCTGTTTTGATGCTGACAGTTCTTCCTCATGACGTTAAACACACGTATATTCCTGAAAAGTTGACAAATGTGAAAAAACAGGACTGTTAGACGCTCATGAGTTAACGACATTTTTAAATTTGATGCTTTGCTTTTGTTACGCTGGGTAACCATGATAACCTGGTTTCATCTAACTGCTGCAGCGGCGACGGCACGATGGGCGTCTTCAACATCAAGCGGCGGCGTTTCGAGCTGCTGTCGGAGTACCAGAGCGGCGACCTGACCTCGCTGGCCATCATGAAACGGGGGAAGAAGGTGGTCTGCGGCTCCAGCGAGGGAACCATCTACATCTTCAACTGGAACGGCTTCGGCGCCACCAGCGACCGGTTCGCCGTCAAGGCCGAGTCGATCGACTGCATCGTCCCCGTCAGCGACAGCATCATGTGCACCGCCTCCATGGACGGACACATCCGGTCAGTCGACCCTCCTCCAGGTCACACCGAGAAATGTGTTCACCGGATGATTAAAGGGGTTTTTGGGAACGCAATAGTAATAAATAATAAATAATAGTATAAAAATAGTAATATATAATGTAACATGAATAAACAGAAGATAACTGGTAAAATTAAAAAATTAAAGTTTAAAAAAAAAGTGCATTTTAAATACAAACATGTCAGATTTCATTTAAAACTTCTTTCATAAAAAATAATATTTAATGGAAGTGAAATGTAAATATTTATTAGTAAAATATGCTTTCTAAATAAAAGAACAAACAAATCAGTTGATAAATAAAATTCTGCTCAGAATAATTTTTCAAAATGAAAGTTTTGTGAAACATCCACTTTAAATAAATACATTTATATTTATTATATATAAATAAACGACGAAATAAAACTTTTGATTAAATAAAAAACAATTGGTGATGTGTAACATAAATCAAACATGGACGTAGACTTTTCTTTAAATATAAAATGATCATAATTAATAACTAAATGTTCGTGCTTTTATTCTGACAGGTCAGAAAGCCCTCAGAAGGTTTTATTTATTCAGACGTGTTTCTTGTTGAACTGTGACTCTAAAGCGTCGTCGTGTTCGGTCCAAACCCACTCACGTCTTCTGTCCTCTCTCAGCGCCATCAACCTGCTGCCCAACCGGGTCATCGGCTGCATCGGGCAGCACGTCGGCGAACCCATCGAGGAGCTCGCCAAGTCCAGAGACTCGCGCTTCCTGGTCAGCTGTGGCCACGACCAGCTCGTCAAGTTCTGGGACATTTCCAATTTGCCCGGCACCAAGGTCCAGGAGTACCGCAAGAGGAAGAAGAAGGACGGCCGCATGAAGTCGCTCACCAAGAAGGCGCTCGGAGACGACGACTTCTTCGCTGGACTGGTGGAGGACGCCGAGAAGAAGGAGGAGGAAGACAAGGAGGAGGAGGAGGAGGACGACGAGGAGGAGGACAGCGACAGCGATTAAACTCTGCTTACTGGGACATCAGACCTGAAGAAGCAAAGCGACGCTGCTGCTGTTTGGTCGAAGACTTGGTCTGAAGCGCATCCAGTTGTCTGAACAACGAGGGGCGATGCTGGTGCTGCCAAACCCAAAGACCGGAAACCAACCGCTGGTCCCTCTGGAGTCCACGGTGAGGAGAAGTATTCAGTAATCCTCACTGATCCTGAACTGAAGCGCTGGTCGTGTCCGTGGAGGTCCGGACGAAGGTGGACTTCTGCCACGTGGTGATCAACGCTACGGGGCAGAAGTACAGACGCTGTGGGGGCGTTTACAACCTGTGAGCCAGCTGCAGGATGTCCACTATGTCCTCTGTGAATTTGCTGTTTGTTGTGAAACAATTCCACTCATTAAAAGAGTTTAGTTTTTCAGTGTGTTCTGCTGGTTTAAATGAATTCAGAATACACGTTCCACAGAAAACCACATGTTTATTTTAATGCATTTTCATCGTCACGCAAAGCATCCGTCACGTCTTTAGTTCACATAACCGTTGTTACGTTAGGTCGCCATTCGTATTTATGCTAAACGAGCTTTCATTCAGGTTGCCATCGACCTGCTTCCAGATTTCAAACACACTGCTTTGGTTTTTTGGTCCTTTAAATGTAAAAGAGGAAAAAATAGAGCCATAAAAATGTTAGTTTCACATTTCTTTAGCCCGTACACACCTCATTGTCATATTTTAAAACCTTGCTATAAAACTTTATTTAAAAAAAGCATTAAATAAAATAAAAATTGACAGCCACTGATCCCATTCTGTTATCTATCTTGCTTTTTTATGAATTTAATTTTTTTGTTTAATCTATGTACACTTTTTTTAAATTAAGTACATTTAAAAAAAATACATTCATTCATTTTCACTGAGTATGAATAACTTTAATAGATTTGAAATGATCTTGAAAGTTTTTGTGTTATATATGATTTTTTTTTTATATAAGAAATGTCCTTTTAACTGTATTTTTACAGTTGTGACAGCAAGATATCCAATAAATATCGAAAGCTGCATTAATATTTGGAAAATATCGCCTTAAATGCTTCATTAAGATCCAGAGTCACGCTGTGAAATGTCAAATATACTTTATGAGCGTGTTGAAATAAAGCCAGTCGACCACACGTCGCCTTTTTCGGGCGATGGTACAGTCCGGACTCCCCCCTCCGGCTGGTACAGTCCAACGGTAGGCGGGAAAGCGTGGACGGTCACGTGACGCGGCGGCCAACATGGCGGAGGAGGAGAGCGTAGCTTAGTAACCAGAAGCCTCCAGCTGAGCGGAGGAAGCACCGAGGAGGTAGTCCACGTTTCCAGGGGACCGACCGTAAGCTTGCCGGTGAGTTTACGTTAAAGTCACGGTTCTGGAATCGGGCGCGCGGATGATAACCCCGCCAGAGCCGCCGCGGCTAGCTAGCATGTGTTAGCTTGAGCCGCTAGCAGCCTGTATTTGTAAACAATAGCACGCTGCTGAAAACGAAACCGCGGAGCTCGTGGGGAGGATTTAACTGTGGACACACGGCGCTGCGCTTCAGGGACGTTTCAGGGGGAAGAAATGAAAGTAACGCGGCCGTTTTTAGTTTTAAATTCAACGGTTTATTCCAGATAAAGTCAACTCGAGAGCAGACGTCAGTAACGGGTAGAGATGAACCGCATTCAGGTTGATTTAAAGACAAAAGTCAGGATTAATACCAAACCTTCTGACGGGTTTAACTGTCAGAGGCACAGGCAGTACTTGGGTATTAATACTGATCAGTAACTAAACAAAAAAGCTCGTGCTCGGGCTGAATGTTGTCGTTTTACTGAATGTGTCGTCATGGAAACACCATCACTTGACTACAGCTGTTTCTACTGGATGTGCTTCATCTTGTAAATCCAAACCAACATGGCTGCGTTCTGTTTTTATTGAGTTTACGTTCACCTAAACTCATGAAAGCAGCACAGCTCCAGTCTCTTTGATTCATCTCAGCGACACATTCAGCTGCTGAGGTGTTGTCCTTGTTTGGTTTTTTGTTTGTTGTTGTTGTTGTGTATTTCTCTGCTGCCTTCTTGGTCAAATCTCTCTCTCTCTCTCTCTCTCTCTCTCAACAACCCAAAGCATCAGAGCTTCAGAGTGTTAAAGTCTAACTGTCCTTCCAGATTCCTGCTGTGTGGTCCGGCTCTGAGGCAGCAGGATGCCGGGAAAAAACGGCGACCAGTTTAAAGCCGGAGACCTGGTGTTTGCCAAGATGAAGGGCTTCCCTCACTGGCCCGCCAGGGTACGCACACAGACACACAAGCTGAACACCTCCCTGCTGCTGCTCTGCTACGAGAACAGCGTGGCTGGTCATTTGAATCCCACTGATAGTAGCTCGCGTTACCTGGCTACTTATGAGTAAACCCTAAAACTCAGGCAGTCACAAGCATTCATGAGGGGAAAGCTAGTTGTTAGCCTGATGTTAGCTAGCCACATTAGCTGCTGTACATTCATCTGCACTGTTAAGACGATAAGCTCAGCCTTGTGTTGTTTAGACTTTATACACAGTTAGTTTCTGAATGAACTTTCCTGCCTCCTGGACGCTCTAACATCTACGTGTGATTGCAGATCTGTAAGTCAAACAGCGGCTACAGGAAGCGAGTCCCGGTCTTCTTCTTCGGGACCCATCAGATGTAAGTAGACTCGGCCGCCGGTCGGTCGCTCCGTTTCCTCGGCAGCGTTTACTGAACTGTGATGGACCTGTGCTCCTCAGAGGCAGCCTCCCGCCCGCCAACGTCGTCCCCTACATGGGAAACAAGATGAAGTACGGCAGCGGCGTCCGCATCAAAGGCTTCGCCGAGGGGATGTGGGAGATCCAGAACACTCCTGGAGTCGGCAGTAAGCTCAAAGTGAGCAGCTCTTTCCAGCGGTGGTGCAGGTTTAAAGCTCACCTGAATCAGCTGAAGCACAGACGAGTCAGTTACGTGTTTGATGATGTCATAATGGACTTTTTCTGCTCAGGTACCAGGAAAGACCAACACTCAGACTACACCCACTAAACAGGCTTCTGCAAACAAAACTAAACTGACTTCTGGGCCCAAAGCTGCACCCGCTAAGCCAGCCTCTGCCACTAAAGCAACACCTGCCTCGAAGACTACACCTGCTAAAACTCCACATGACAAACTGAGAAGCTCCTCGACTCCCAGTCAACCCGAGTCCAGCAGTAAACCGGCCGCCAGAAGAAGCACTCCGAGCAAAGCTGCTGCTGAAACAGAACCATCTGTGAAAGCTGCTACCAGGGCTTCGTCTAGATTAGCTCCAGACAGAGCTGCAGAGTCCAAACAAACTTCTACAGATGTTACAGAAGCTGCTGCGACGGCAAGAAGCAGAAGAGCAGCGAGCAGAGGATCTGCAGGAGCGAGTGCAGGTTCTGCTGAGGATAGAAAAGAGGTAAGAACCAAAATGTTGGAGTGTAGAAGACGAGTCGCATTAGCTGCATGGAATACACAATGTTCTGTCTCCTCAGATACCAGCGAGCGACGCCTCAGTGTGCGACAGTAAACCTGCTGCTGAAACAAGTCAAGTTACAGCCAAGAAGGAAACTCGGAGCACTCGCAGATCTTCAGCAGAGGAACCAAACTCCAAACAGGCTGAAACATCAGCAGCAGCGTCCAGCTCTGCAGAGACGACCAGAAGCAGAGCAGCAGAGTCGAAGGTAAACTCAGCCGACGTGTAAACACTCGAGCATCCAGAACAAAACTCTCTCCTGATTCAGCTTCACATCGCAAACACAAAGACTCGGCCGCAGGTCATTTCAGCAGACTCAGTGTCTTCACTCGGACACGCTGTGGTGAGTTTTATGAAACTTTGACCCACAAACCAACAACAAACCATCTCAGCTGTGCTCAGACAAACCAGCTTGTTAGCAGCGTGTGAGCTTCAGAAGATGAAGGTTTACATAAAATTAGCAACAGCAGAACAGTTGCATCCCCACGTGATGCACACGTATTCCAAAGGTAGCAACTGGCATCTCTGAGCTGGTCAGTAGCATCCCTACTGTAGTCACTGGCATCTCTAGCCTAGCAATTAGCATTCAAAGACAAGTCACAGCGTCTTTATGCTAGCAACTAGCATCCAGAGGCTAATCACCAGCGTCCCTAGATTAAAACTACGTGAGACACAACTAGTATCCCCCGGCTAGCAACTAGTGCCCATTAGCTAGTCACTACTACCCAAAGGTTGGCAACTAGCGTCCCAAGACTAATAACTAGCATCCCTAGACTCACATTAGACGAGACACAACTAGAGTCCTTAGGCTAGTCACTAGTATGCCAATGCTAGCTGCTAACTAACCCATGCTAGTCATTAACATCCCTCGGGTAGCAGCTAGATTTCCTTGGCTAGCAGTCTTTTGACATGTCAGTATCATCCCTCTGTGAGCAACTTGTGTCCCTTAGCTAGTCACTAGTATCCCAAGGTTAGCAACTAGCATCCCTGGGCTAATCTTTAGCATCCTGTGGCTGGTCATTTGTGTCCTGTTGACAGTAACTAGCATTCTTTGGCTACTGCTTGGTAAACAGCTAAGCTAGTCACTAGCAGTGGGGGAATGCTAGTTGTGAGCCGGTTGTTAGCTCGCTACGTTAGCTTCTCTGTCCTCTGAGTCGTCTTATTTGTGGGTGCTCATCTGCACTGTCATGAGGATAAAGTCTTTTGAATCTTGGTTTGTGTTGAGTTTCTTCTTTAGATTTAAAACGGTGACACATGATGTAGTTTCCTGCTTCTCACCAGGTGGACGCTGAAGCTGAGCAGAAAACAGCTGCTGAAACACCTGCAGGAGAGAAGAAGAAGAACGAGGAGGACCGAGGACGGAAGAGGAAGAGAGGCAACAAGAAAAGAAGCGAGGACACCAGCGAAGGAAAGAAGGAGGAGACGAGACGGACTTCAAACAGGAAGAGGTGGAGGAAAGAGGAGGAGGAGGATGGAGTCCAGGAGGAGGAAGCTAAAGACGAAGGACGGAGGGAGGAGAAGACGACCTCCAAGAGACGAGCGTCACGAAGACAGATAGAAGAGAAGGTGGAGGAGAAGAGAGACGGAGCAGAGAAGGAGGAGGAGAAACCGAGACGAGACGGCGGCGAAGGGAAGAAGGAAAAGAGGAGGAGGGAATGGAGGAAGAGAGAAAGGGAGGAGCCGAAGAAACCGAGAGACGACAAGGACGGAAAGAAGGACGCGAGGAGAGAAGAGAGCCAGAGAACCAAGAGGAAGAGGGAGGAAGAGGAGAAGCCAGGACAGGACGGAGGTGTGGAGGCAAGGAAGAGGAACAGGAAGAGGAAGAGGGAGAAGAAGGACGGAGGAGACGAGGAGGCAAAGGAGAGAGGAGGCGAGTCTGTGGACAGAGAGGTGAAGCTGCTGGTTTTACTCAGTTTAGTTCAGACATCAGATACGTTTTGGAGATGAAACCACAAGTTCACTGTCACTGTGTCAACTTGCAGCGACAGCGCCACCTGGCGGCGAAGAGGGAGAGTCTGCTGAGGTCTCTGAGAGGTCTGCTGAAGGCCGACAGAGGAGCGAAGAGGAGGGAGGCGATGAAGAGCGTCTCGTAAGATCAAACCACACGGTCCATTCAGCAGCAGGAGCTCCAGACGAGGAGCTAACGTGTCTGTTTGTATTCGCAGGAGAGTCGGAGACGCAGCGAAGAAGAAGACGAGCAGGAAGACGGGAACCTCCATCAGCCAGAAAACACCAGAGAAGAAGAAGGAGCAGGAGGAGGAGGCCGAAGAGAAGGCAAGTCACACGGCAGAGGAGGGGAAGGACAAGGAGGCGAGAGGAGAAGACAAGAAAAAGAACGAAGAAAAGAAAGACGAGAGGAAAATAATCGGGAAGATCGTGAAGGCAACGGCCGGCCAAGGAACGAAGATCCAGGTGATGATGGGAGGAGCAACGACAACGGCTGCAACAGAGGAGGAGAAGAAGAAGAAGATGGAGGATAAGGAGAAAAGGGAGGGGGAGGAGAAGAAGAAAGAAGACAAAAAGATGGAAGAGAAGAAGAAGAAGGTGGAGGAGAAGAAAAAGGAGGAGGAGAAGAAGACAGAAGAGAAGAAGGTGGAGGAGACAAAGAGGAGCTTGAGAGGCAGCACCGAAGAGAAGAAGAAATCTGAAGACGTGAAGACAAAACAAAGCTCAGAGGCCGAGAGGAAATCTGAAAGAACGAGAGCGACGACAGAGGATAGAAAAGACAAGACTGCAACGGAAGTGGAGAAGAAGAAAGACGAGAAAAAAGTGGAGGAGAAGAAGAAGAAGAGCTCGGAGGAGGAGAAGAAGAAGTCTACAGACGGGAGAAGAGTCTCAGAGGCCGAGAGGAAATCTGAAAGAACGAGAGCGACGGCCGAGGAGGGAAAAGACAAGAAGAGCATCACGGAGGAGGAGGAGAAGAGCGGAGCAAATGGGACGGAAAGAGGAGAAGAAGAACCGAAAGAAGAGAAGAAGAAGAAAATGATGACGAGAGAACAGAAGAAGAAGAAAGAGAGCGACGTGGAACCGCAAAAGAAGAAGAACGTGAAGGAGAATAAAGACGACAGAACGGTGACAACAGGTCAAATGAAGAACGAAGAGACAAAACCACAGAAGAAGAACGTGGAGGAGAAGAAAGACGACAAAGCAGCAGCAGATAAGGAGAAGACGACGGCCGCTGAAGAGACAAAACCACAGAAGAAGAGCGCAGAGGGGAGGAAGGACGACAAAACGGCGACAGATCACACGAAGAAGACGCACAGCGACCAGACGAAACCTCAGAAGAAGAGCGGCGACGGGAGCAGCAGAGCCGAGTCCTCGTTTGAATCCACCACCGAAGAAGAAGCAGACAAGAAGAGCGCGGCGGCGTCGGCGTCGCTGACCGACTCGACGCTGCACAGAATCCACGGGGACATCCGGATCGCTCTCAAGTCCGACAACCCGGTAAGAAAGAGCCGCCCGAGTGTGTGAGGCGCAGCTGGAACTCGGCGCTGACTCGTTTCCTCTGCTGCTCTGCAGGACGTGTCCAAGTGTCTGGCGGCGCTGGACCAGCTCAGCATGGTGTACGTGACGTCGCAGCACGTGCAGAGGCACAGCGAGCTGGTGGCTACGCTCCGAAAGGTCCGACTCTCATAGAACCCGCCTCCAGGTGTCAGCGGGTCACAGCGACCACAAAGTCACGATAAAAGCAGCAGGTCCATTCTAAGCATAGGGACTGGTCCGGCTGTAGGGTCTGGACCAATAGGAAGCAACGTAACAAACTATCTCATCATCGGGTTTTATAAATGTTAATAAATACTTTAAATAACTGCAGTAAGAATCTACATGAAACTTTAAAAAACAATGTTTTAAATTAGAGTTAATGTTTGTAAACGTATCATTTATAATGACAAGAAATGTTTTCTAATTATTATTATTATTGTACATAATTAACAAAAATAAACTGTGGTATTGTTTTGTAAATGTATTATTCAGACTGATATTTTATGTAAATATAATTAAAATGTTAAGTCATTAAATAAAA